CTTTCTTTCTTTCTCAGAAGCGACCCGGCCACGTATGAAAGCTTAACGAAGTGGCTCATCGTGTTGACATTTCTCGCAGCCAAATGCTCTAAACGCGTGATGTTAATTCCAAATGTGGAGGGGGAAAACCGGAGGGCCCGTAGAAAAAAATCCACGCGACCACGGAGGAGAGAGAGAGAGAGTGACGCAAACTCCAAATATACAGCAGCAGGCGTCAGAGTCGGCATCAAACCCGCGACCTCCTGTAGACCAGGCGAGGTAGTTGACACGGTGGCGGCAGCAAGATGTTCAGGAGCTGAATGCCAACATCGAGGTCCTGCTGCTGCTGCTGGCCACGGCGAGAGGGCTTCAGCGGAGAGATTTCGTGTCGTGTCGCTGTTCCCCCTCCTCCACTGAAGGCGCGAACACAGCAGTGGTTTACTTTGATGGGTCCACGGCGTGGGCTGCATGGCCACAGTCCCGATTCTGTGGCTTGTATTTCATGTTTCTCTGTGGGTCTCTATGCACCTCTGCAGATCAATGTCGAGGTCTGCTGGCCACCTACGAGAGGGCTTCGGGAGAGAGGGTTCGTGTAATTCTGCTGTTCCTCTGATGGTAGCGCTGACTGCAGTGGTGTACGATGTGGTCAACAGTGTGGGTTTCGTGGCCACAATCGCACTGCTCTGGCTGTTTCTTTGATTTTCCATTCATGAAGGCGGATGCGGTACAGCATCGACCTGCTGCTGATGTTCTGATGCGGGTTGATGGTCACACCGGTGTCTTTGAGGAGGAGGAGGAATATTAAAGCCAGGAGGCGCGACGATGTTTTGGGTCCCAGATGAGGAAGCGTTAATTCTCGACGTCCGCCCTGTGCTTCTCTATGGGTCTCTGTTCGCACAGCAGCGACGTTCTTCTGGACCTTGACGAGATTCTAGGATGACGACGGCGACACCAGCAGCAGCAGCAACGTGGTCCCAGAAAGGCAATCGGGACTCGAGTCTGCGGCGAGGTGACATTGTCGAGGTCTTGGTTGATGACGGGTAGGAGCTTGTCGTTGGAAAGAGAACGGGTAAACTCGCTCGCGGTTCGCATGTCTCTGCGGCTGTTACAGCCATGCTGACTGTTGGGGAAAGCGCCGTCAGCGAGCGCCTACGAAAGCCGGCTTGGTGCTCAGATGGCAGCACCGAACACTTTACCCAAGCGCCACGCGACCTGTCAATCAACTGCGCGGATTGAGGCGGTGATTTTTTTTGTGGGGGGGGGGGGACGAGGTGGGTGATTTGGGGAGGGATTTGAGAAAATCTTTGTTTCCACTGCAGCGTGCCACGACCGTTACACAAGGGCAGGGCCCACTAAGTGGATACAACACTGCGAGCACTCCGACCATTCATTATTATTATAGATTCACGTTCTTCCCTTGAGCCCATTCTTCTTCTTACTTTTGTCCACGTGCAGAGGGATAAACCGTGTTTCCCGTAAGCCCCTTGGGGGGGGGGGGGGGGGGGGAGCTGGCAGGGGGCGGGGGGGCTATGGCAGTAACTAACAGCACGGGACCCATTTGCGAAATTGATCTCCGTCTAATTGAGCCCCCTTCTGGGACAAGAAAAATGCCACCATTCTAGTCGCAAGCACTGAATTAAATTATATGCTCAACTGACCCCCCGCGGGAGGCAAAGACATTGACAATGCTCACGTGTGTGTGTGCCTGTGTGTGTGTCTGTGTGTGTGTAGGGCAGCGGTTAGTACGCTGCGCTATGAACCTGGCGACCCTGGTTCGATTCCCGCTCATGGCCAACACCAGTGACAGCGATTATATTATCTGAACCGGTCCTGGGCCTCCCCTAGGTCGACTCAGCCTCAAATGAGTACCTGGTGCAGTATGTAAAAAATCATCGCCACTGGGGAGACAAAGTCGGCCGGGAGTGGTGCAGGCCACCCATCCCCTCGTGTGCCGTGCTGGCCTTCATAGGTGCTCGCTAACAGCACTTGCCCCCACAGTCTGTTACAGGCTATACGGGGGAGCTTTTTGTGCAAAAACAAAGATCCCCCGTGTAGCCTGCACAGGCTGCTGGGACTGTTTCACAAAAGTTCATATTGTGAGCACCTATGAAGGGGGTGGGTGGCCAGCACCACACCCGGCCGCCTTTGTCTCTCCAGTGCTGATATTCACACCGCACCAGGTGTCGAACTAGGGGAGGGCCAAGGCCAGTTCAAATGTTCGTCACCATCGTCGGTCGCGAGCGAGAATCGAACTCGGTTCGCCGGGTTCCTAGCGCGGCGTGCTCACTACTACACTTCGACTCCCCACGCAACCAGACGCACGCGCTCGATTACCCGATCGTACAAATGCCGAAGGCCCGCGCGGTGACAAGCCCCTGGCGGCCGTCACTAGGGCTGCCCCCCTTTTTTCCCAGAATTCCCCTGGACACGACCATCGCGGTGTCTTGTGGGATGGTGGGATTTGTCGTGGAGGATCGTGTGATGCCATTCCACGGGGGGTCCCCGCAGGGGTTTGACGACATCTCGCCCCCTTGGGCTGCCACAATATGTTTTTCTAACCCCCCCCCCCAATGTGGGGGTGGGGGCGGGCAGGGGGTGGGGGGGGGATGTCATCACTTGCCAGCTTAAGTAAAATGTAAAAAAATGTTATTACATGTTTCATGTAAAAATTTTTTTTTTACATGAAACCAAAACGTTTCGTTAAACCCGCCAGCACCCGACACAGCCAATTCGAATTTTTTTGTCACGTAACAAAAAACACGCGCCAATTAGTTACGACTTTATTAACCCCCCCCCCCCCCCACTTTAAGCAAGATGAACACACAAGCGTGGTCACCACATCTACGCCTCTATTTAAGGAACTAAACAGGTGGACTTCTCCACAAGTCTGGCTGTCGCCTGATGAAGCTGGTTGTAATTACTGGCGAAACGTCGAAATATTGAAAATGTTGTGCCTTGGCTCTCCAACACACGGGTGTGCTGTACGAGTAACGAATTGGCACGTTCTGTTTACGTGACAAACCTTACTAATGGACTGTGTCGAGTGGTGGCGGGGTTAACGACACATTTATATTTGCGCGATCTTCCAAAACGGAAACCTCTATTATGGATAATATCAGTCGCGAAAGTTTAACACGTAGGCTTTCGCGACCAATATTATTCATAATAAAGGTTTTTGGGTTAGATCGCGTTTATTTATAAATGTGTCGTAACCCTCCACCACCCGACACGGCCAATCAGCAAAAAAAGTGTCACGTTGACAAAAGACAAATAATTCACTACTTTAGCCCACCGGTGTGTTGAAGAGTGAATCCACATTTACAGTTTGAGTACGACGTTTCGCTGGTAAATACATCCAGCATCATCGGGCAATTCGCCAGAATGGTAAAGCCCTCGCTTGCTCCCGGTTTTATATAGAGCAGCAGGGTGACGTCATCACTTAACTCATATCAGGAGCTTTACGTGTTAAACTGACCGTGGAATTGTATTCGGAACGGTAGCTGACTTTGCCCGTTTTTGCGATTGGCTTAGCATCACACATTCCAAGGGAGGCAAATTACTTGGTTCACCGATGATGGGGTCGTGTATATGTCAGTGCTAAGCACGATACTTTAACCAGTGTAGACAACTGAGACTGACCCTGCCACCCTATGAGTCAAACCAATCCGATTTGTCAATTGTTGGGAGGCAAATTCAAGCACTTCGGTTTTCACGATTCTCCACTTACAATCGTAGACTCGGCTCTATTCGTGCAGAAACTAATCTGCTTAACTCTTCTAGAACACCATTGGCATTCACGTCAAGCACTTAGTCACGATAAATCTGAACGTGACATTAAAGCCAGTTTGAATATAATAACGTTACAACAATGCCTACTTGAATAGGTGTGCTGGTGAAGCATCTTATTATTATTATTACAGAGCCTTAAAGGTTAGGTTGGTGGAACACGTAGGGATGTGGATCCTGCGTCGTGGTTCGAGCAATAGCCACGGCTATGAATCTGTGTGTGTTAGTGTGTGTGCGAGAGATTCTCGGCAATTATTCGGTAGCGAAGCAGACGAGACGCAAGCCACCCGTGTTCAAGTCCAAGCTCACCACCTTCCGTTCCGGTTCAATCGCCGGCTGTCTCGGCTCCCTGAAACGGTCCTTAAATGCGACCTCTTGCGCCGCCATCTATACCCCACAGTCGTAGGTGACCACGAGTGGCGAGGCCCATCGAGGCTTCGGCCAGTAAAAAATAATTTCCCGTCCTGCGTTCAAACGCGGCGTGTGCAGTGGGACCTAAACCTCCCCCCACCCCGCACCCCCCCCCTAGCCGGAGTCGGGGAGGGAGCGCGAGGAGACGGCTTGTAGGGCACGGCGAGCGCGACGAACAGAATCGTCGAATTTGTCGAATTTACTTCGACGATTAACATCCATGAACGAGGCAGCGCAAAGTCGCCAAACTAGCAGAGCACGCAGGAGAGTGACGCGATCGGTGAACCCTGACTCCTGGGCGTATCGGGCACATTACCATAGCAGATTGATAATAATAATCATTACACACGATTATTTTTTTTAAATGCTCAAACACCTTTGCCACGTGAGGTATGGCTGCCATTGATTGACCATCAAAAAATAATCATAGTATTCGTTTATACTGGAGGAATCTGATGAGCTATAAATATATTTTTCACACATGTCCAGAAGGGGCAGGTCGGAACGTTACAACGAAAATGACAAAAAGACGATAGGAGTGCAAAGTACAGGAAAGGTAAATATCTCACTTAAAAAAAATACACGAATAAAACTAAACGAATTTTTATCTTACCAGGTAAAGCCCACTGAGCTATTAGCTTCTTTTTCAGAAGCAACCTGGCCGCAAGCAATGGCTCGAGGCTCATCGCGTGGACATTTATAAGGCAGAAAAAAATAAAGTAAACATTTATCTCGACGCACGTTCACGTTACTATGGGAAATGGAACATAACCGGCGGAACCGACATTCTCCTTCGACGCCGCAGACAGCGGCACGCAACCTACCCACGGTGTTCTCGAGGGCCTCCAGGTTGGCCATGCTGACGCGGATGACGCTGGACGCCAGAGAGAGGGCCCCGCCGGGCCCCAGCGCCAGCAGGAAGACGCGCGTATCGCCGGGAGACACGCGCGCGTTGCACACGGGAGCGCCGTCACCGAATCCCTCGACGCTAACGCGCGGACGCTCGGCCCCCGTCACGGAGGCCGGCAGCAGCTCGCGGCCCTTGATGAAGCGCCATACGCGGATCTGGGGGGGGGAGGGGGGCGGGTGGGTGTGGGGGTGATGGGGGGGGGGGTCACATGGTCAAGGGTCAAAAGGTGGCTAGCGGTTGTCGTATTCGCCTTTTTCCCACTGGCACATCTGACCCGAGCTGGCGCAGGGGCGCCACGGTGGCGAGATGTTGATTACCTCGCTTGATACGCAGGAGTTTGTGGGTTTGATCCCGACGCTGACGCCTGTTTTACATTTGCGGTTTGCATGTCTCTCTCCCCGTGGTACACGTTGATTTTTCTCCGGGTCCTCCGGTTTTTCCGTCCACTTTAAGAATCAGCATGCGTTTAGAGTATTTGGCAGCTATACGTTTCCCACTTGATGAGCCACTTTTGTCGAGCTATCATTTGTGGCCAGGCCGCTTCTGAAAAAGAGCTATAAAATAATTCAGTGGGGCTTACCTGATAAAATACAAAGAGTTTAGTTGTAGTCTATTCCGTGTGATTTGGCTCAGTGGGAGGTCGCTCCTTCTCATCTGCCCCCTGACAGCCCCGAACTCCCTTCACCCAGCCATCCGCGCTGTCGACTCCCTGGCCCTGTTCAAGTCCACACTCAAGACGTTCCTTTTATTTTTTTACTTTTCCTATGACCTACTGTTTGACTGGCTCTTTGTCTCTCTCGCTCTCTCTATAAAAAATTAAACAGGACCACTGATTCGGGACAGCGTCTGGAGCTGTGGTCACAATTAGGCTCTGCAATATACAGTAAATCCAAATTGATATTTTGACATAAATTAATAGCTCGTGGATTTTCCCTTAATCCCAAATTAAGAATCTAAAAGAGTTATATATTGTTATTCTTGGAAATGTGTGTTACCAGTCACGTGTTTAAACCGAACAAATTTGTTCTCTGGTTAATCCGCAATCCACGTGATCGCCTCTACAGTACAGTAGTCGCTATATCTTTACAACAGTGGGCGGAGTTTGATTGATGATGGTTGGCGTGGCTCTGCTATCATCCACTTAGTGGGCCAAGTCTCCTGCTGGGTGGGAGCAATAAAGTGTGATTATCACTAAGCACGCGCATCAATATGGCGATTCTTTACTGCAAATTTTTGCCTTGTTCATTGACAAACTAAATTTTCTTTAACGTAAATATAATTTATACCCATATTTGTGGGTTTTTTTGGCATAGAGATCTGCAGAAAATTTATACTTTTTGGATTATCGGCGAATTTGAATTATCCGTGTCCGCCCTCCCCATTATTCGCGCGGATATCACTATGTAGCACAATTTTTGTTCCTGGGTAGTAAGTGTTATTTCGTATTTGCTTATGCCTAAAATGTATAGAAAATGGCTATTATTCCCCACAAACTTTGCTTTCGTGACCAGGACAGTGATATTTTGAAATTTACCTATTTTCAATGATAAAACGGGCGAATTTGTGGCTTTTCGTTCACATAAAGTCAGAAGAAAACATCATATGAATACAAATTTTCATGTATTCATATTAAAGTAATACAAAAATGACTACAAAAGATTTAGACACCAAGGCGCACTACCACAGGCGGGACTGGCCACAGCGGACCGAGTTCTCTGTGGGGAAGAACAACGTCAAGTGGGAGCCACTGGTGGACCCCCAGAAGGTGCTGATGCCATTTTTTGTACTTTTGAGGCATACGCAATTATGAATAACACTTACTAACCCATGAACAAAAATAATGTTACACGGTGTAATAATCTAGAGTCTGCTGTAACTATGAAAATTTCAGGGTTTTCCCCTCGAACGGTTTCATTTTTCCGGCTACACCACCCCACCCAAACATTCTCACTCTGCAACCTGTGTCTCACACCCCCACCGCTCACCCACCCCTCCCCTCCCCACCACGACTTTGGTTTGCCCACCCAAGCACGCAAAAAAGAAACTATCGCTTTGAAAGCAAGTAAATAAATATACAACTACCTCCTGTTGCAACAAGAAGAATGAAAGCACGGCTACCATTGTACAGTTGAGTTTGCCAGAGGGAGCGAACACGATCAATCTCGCAGGAATGTGTGTTTTTTTTGTTACGTGGCTTGCTGTGGAAAGAATCGGCCCCCCCCCCCTCCAGAAAAGTTCGCCAAAGAAAGAAATACTCACAAGCGAAAAAAAGTGCCTAGCGAAATCACACGTTCAGTCACGGCGTAAACGTGACCGCGGTGATTTCAAAACCAACATTTGGCTCTTAAAAACGTTTGCTTGGTAAAGGCCGTGAACGACGAGTATAAGCTCAGTGAAAGTGGAGGGAACCGGTTAGTGCGCTGTGAAAGATATTTCCCCGTGTTCGACTCCTGCCCACGGCTAACATCGGTGCCGAGTGACCTTGTGATATTTAAACACTGACACCGATACCGCTAGCCCAGACCTCCACCAACCCCCTTTGACCAGTGCGGTGAAGTATGGTCAAACAAATCCCCGTGAGTGCCATTGCGTGGGGTGGCCTTCATCTATCGGTCGATAAACAAAGAGCGGAACATTACGATTGTGTTATAATTTTTATTAAAGAATCAGCAAACTTTCCCTGCGATGTGGATAACGTAGCACAAGGCTCGTTGCACACGGTACTGATCGCAATTCGAATAATGATAACTAGCCTACAGCCCGTCCAAGGACAGGGGGCATTGCAGTAAATCTGAAATATGAAATCGAAAATGTTTCGCTCGCGATTATTATTGAGGGTGGCGGGGGGGGATGCTCCATGTGGAGTGACGTCACATGCTCATGATTATTAATGAGGGGTGCTCCATGTGGAGTGACGTCACCCGCTCCTGATTAATTATCAGAGAGGGGGGGGTGCTCCATGCGGAGTGACGTCACCCGCTCATGATTATTAATGATAGCGTTACGGAGTTAAGCGTCACATCAGGGTTCTGGATTTTTATATTATTTAGAAATAATATTAATAATGAGAAAGAAGAAAACTGTATAATACAGTACGTGCTTCCACGGATGCGCTGATTGTGGAAACATTTACGCAGTCATTTCACTCCAAGGAGACCATACACAGGAGTGTGTTCACCTCCACAATGCTGTGAATACTTACAAAAAAAATCTCCCGTCTAGAAATCCAACGGGAGACAACCTTCACGCACTGTACGAATACATTCCTGAGCGTGAGTTATTAAGAGTCTTCATCATGATAACAATGTACACAGCCCATTGTCCGTCCACTGCTGGACAATGAAGGTCTTTGCCACACTGTGTGGGTCGTGGACGTTGATTGGGGGCTAAGGGTGGTTGCAGGGCCGGATCATGGTCCTGTGAGGCCCCTGGTCACGTGTCCTTTGGAGCCCCCCACCACCCCCCCGCTTTCCTATATTGGTGTCTTTCTTGCATTCCTCCTCGCAAAATCATCCACTAGATCGTCAACATCTCGCTGTCTGACAAGGTTCTGGCTCTATTGACATAAGTGACAATGAGCTGAGACGGATTTGGCAACACGGTACTCCCCAGCTCATTTTTGGACTTCTCCCTCCCCTCAAGTGTCACACCTGGCTCTGAGCTCTCATCTGCAAATGTCTTGCATTTCCTCTTTCGCTGAAGATCGTGCTTATATGACTGAGATACACCTGTCACATTTAAGGCTGCCCTTTCAAAAGCTTAAAACTGGTCTCGCTGTCCCACCGCAAAATTCCTCAACGAAGACAAAAGCTGTGCTGCTACAGAGATGTCAATGTCACTTTTCTGTAGGTGCATGCTTGTAGCATGGAACCGGTCAAGTATGACGTCCCGGAAATGTGCCCTGAACACCATCTCTAAGGTGTCCAATTTAGCACGTAGTCCAGCGGCCTCAAATCGAGTTTCTCTTTTCTCATTATCATCATTGCACACACCACCGAAGGCCTCTCTCATGTGGGTGTAATTTCTCCACAGTGCCTTGGTTGACTCTGCCCAAGCACTCCACCGAGTACTGGACAGCGATTTTAATGTCGGTCTGACGTCTGTGTTCCGAAAGACTTTCCCCCATCTGTGTGTGGATGAACAGCAAAATGTGTACAGTGACTGCAACATGTAAAAAAACTCGTCAGCCTCTGGGCTACTGCCATTTAAGGTGTTAACACCAACTAAGTTAAGTGAGTGCGCTGCGCAAGGCACATACTCTATGAAAAGTTTTTTTTTTGTTTTAGGTGGGCCTATAGACCATTGTATTTTCCTGACATTGTCATATGACTGACCTCTACAGTGGGAGAGGTCCAAGCCAAGGCCCTCCACCATCAAAGTCACACAGTCTACTAAACTTTCGCCAGTGTGGCTCTCAGTTGGCTCAAAGCCCAGGAATCGCTCCACCACATCCCCGCTGCTGTTAACAAACCGGAATATGAATGTCAATTGGTCCACATGTGACAGGTCTGGGGTGGAGTCAACAATTATTGAAAAATATTTGGCATTCCGAATCTCATCTGCTATTGTTTGGCGAGTTTTGTGACCCATTAGCTCAATGAGTTCTTCACGTATTGTCGATGACAAATAGGACAATGTGCCTCTTCCTTCTCCGCCAAACTTTTTAATATGTTCAGCTAAGAATGGGTCAAATTGTGATAGAAATTATTAGATGCCAAGGAAATTACCGTTATGGGTCGACCCAAACCGTTCACGATCTCCCCTAAACGCGAGTCCTATTTCAACCAAGAACTTGATCACTGCTACAAGTCTTTTCAAAATGTCCCTCCAGTATTTACATTCCCCATAAAGTTGCTGCATGAGATCTGCATATATAACACTGCCCTTTGTCCGCTGGTGTAAGGCAAGCACGCATGATCTGTGCTCTGCACTTTTAAAAGGCTGTTAGAAAATAGCCCTTAGGAGGGATTGTTGAAATAGCCTTTAAAAGACGAACTCCTCTGCCGTGGCAGATCACTGTTACAATTCAGTGGGCTCACATGACATTGACTTCTCCAAGACGGAGGTTCTTTGCAAACCAACTGGCTACCATGAGAGATTCGTTCATGAGGCCATTCACATATACAAGCACAGAGACAATTTCAACCGAGAAGAT